AGGGCGATTTTAATGAAAACCGCTTAAGTGGACTTCTGACCGCAGAAGCGGTCCCGCATAAGCGGAAGCGGGACCGCAGAAGCGAAAAACAACTGTTGCAGAAGGGTTTAAAATATTAAATTTCATCCGCGAACAAGAGTTGGTTTCTACCATTTTAAGCGGTTTTGAGAGCTTTGAGCGAGAATTTTCGAGGGCTTTGACTGAGAATCAATTGGAGGTAAGTTCCTTGGTCTAAATATTCGAGTTTATGATAGAAATTACATGTAAATTGTGGAAAATTCATCAAAAACGGGTCAAGCTAGGGCTTGAAAAGTTGTGATGTAAAAACAGATTTTGAAAGGGCATTTGAACTCCGATTTTGGTAAAATTGGTATGTGTAGACTCGTGGCGAGACGAGGAATCCAGTGATGTAAATTTCGTAATTTTTTGAGAAGTGGTCCCGGGGCTCGGGTTTTGCCAACTTAGTGAATTTTGGTATTTTTCGAGTCTTTTCGATTGGGTTATATTTCTTTAGCCTATTGTAATGTATTCGTTGTGGTTTTAATTAGATTCGGCGTGCGAAGAGGTTGATTCTAAAGGCAAAGGCATAGCGAGCTAGACTTGTGGCCGGCTTGAGGTGAGTAATAGATGTAGATGATGACCTGAGGGTTTGAAACCCCGGTATATCACACTGTGACGCTATATTGAGGCAAGACACGTACTCTATGACGAGTGCGGGGTCGATTGTGACTGGGGATTGTGACCTAGTCCGTTCCGATTGATGTTCGTACTGTGTTCTTGACTAGATATTGTTTGGTAATCATCCTACTTGAATTTTATGAGTATGTTGGGGCTTTGTGCCTATCATGTGCATCCTTCAGGGATCCTTATCACTGCTTCCATGATGCTTAGCATATTTCATGATATCAGTCCTGAGTTAGACACTGCCTCGAAATGTTTAGTAAATAAATAATGGTTTAAACACTTAGCTCTATAATTCCTAATAATTGAAACTAAAGATGAACAATTTGACTGTGCCCGAGTGGCTTGCATGCATATATATATCTGGACTGAGTGTGGATCGGGCTGCACGCCGCAGCGAATGTCACGATGATATTGCTCTTGGGCTGTAAGAGCCCCTCCGGAGTCTGAACCCCCACAGTGAGCGCGGGTACCCAAATGGATCGGGCTGCGCGCCGCAACGGTCATGTGCATTGCATTGCATTCATGCATTTATACCTATTTGTCTTACTTGTCCTGGTATTGTTGTTGTTCCACCGTTTTATGTGCTGAATCGCTGATTATAGCTTTATATTCAGCCATTATATATGTTTATTACTCACTGAGTTGGAAGTACTCACTTTACTCCCTGCACCATGTGTGCAGATTCAGGTGCTCCGGAGACTTAGTGGAGCTGTTTGCTGTCTTCTTGGATTTTATCTTCAGGAGTTGTCGAGGTAGCTGCCTGACGTCCGCAGGACCCGACTCCTCCCCTTTATTTCATTTATTTTTTTCATATTCTAGACTTCTTTAACACTAGGGATATATATTACTCTATTACATCTAGAGGCTCTAGAGTCGTGACTCCAGATCTATTGGGGAATGATTGGAATATTCGTTATTATTTTTCGTACTATTTTATTTAGATTCGGATTAGAACCTTGACATTTGCTATTTTAATCGTATTATTTGTTAACGGATTACGTATTTGGGTTCAGAGTATTTAATTGGTCGGGCTTGCCTAGCATCAGTGTTGGGCGCCATCACGACCGGGATTGGGGTCGTGACAATGTTGATCGTGTATAATTAACTTTATAATGAAAGAATTGTCCAACATAAATACTTAATTATTAGTCAATTATTTAACTTAAAAATTATTTTGACTGAAATTAGAATTGTGTATTTGGTTTTGAAGTGCCAGTATTCAAGTGGTATGAGTAATTCAATAGTATAAGCTAACACCAAATTTTAAATATTTAATTGTAGTTATATTTTTATTCAATAAGAATTTTTTATTTCAAATAGTAAAAATATCAATTAGATTAAAAAATTATCCATGAACGAAATCCCCGCACCCCCACCCCCCACCCCCCGAAAAAAAGCAAATAAAAATACTTTGTAAATCTCAGTCTATATACAATAAATAAATTTTAAATAAAATGCAAAGTCATTACTGTAGTCAAGAAACCTACTTATATTAAGATAAATTTAACTTTAAAAATATTATGATATCTCATAAATTATCTTTTTGGAATAACTGATAATTGCTTCAAAACCTCATACTTCCTCTTCCTTTGATCTTTTTAATTATTCCCTTTAAATTTATTTTGTTTATCATTTATATATAGTTTAAATATAAGGTTTTTATAAGGTAAAATTTTAATAGTTTTTTATTTCTAAATATAAAGACTTTCAATATAGTTCAAATAAAAAAGATTAATATGTAAATTTATTTGATTTTAATTAAAAAATAATTAAATTACTATTTTTCTAAGTGCAACGTGTATTTTTAAAGGGTAAAAAAGGATAAGGAAATTTCTCTAAGGGACTTAGAGCATGTAATATAGTTTAGAGTATTTGATAATAACTATTTAAAAATAATATAAACAATATTTAAAGTTGTATTTGTATTATAAATTAAAAATAAACAGACAATTATATACTCCTAAAAATGATAAAAACTAATCATAGATAGGGATTTGTACCTATTTTAGAGGATACAACAGGATCAACTAACTAACAAAAGACGTCTATTTTTATTTTTCTCGCAACAAAATGCAAACTGTTCAATTTCTTTTATTAGTAAGAAATAATATAGAAATTATTTTTAACATATTAGAAAAGAAGAAATCAGTGTTTCTTCGTCTCGGAGAAAGCTTTCTTCTCTCTATCCGATTATGTAACCATGTATTTATTTGATGCATCCAAATGTTGTCCTTTCACGGAGTAAGACTCAATAGTTAAAATTGAATTACTTGCCGTTAACGGGCTTTGAAAGGACTATAATATCATAGAAGGAGTAACAACATGAAATTTATGATAAAATCAGAACAACAATTTATTCTTTTAACCAAATCTCATGAATTTAGTTCTTAGTTTTGTTGTGTATGTATAATCAATTCTCATTTAAATTGGGACTTTTTAAAGTAAGTATGATTAAATTAAAGGAATATTTTAATTTGTATATTATTTAAAAATATTTTATGAAAAATGATTTACATAAATGCTTTGCATGTTCATTTTCTAAAAATATTTTTATACGAATTTTTATTTTATCTTATTGATATGAGTTAGAATGTCTAACCAGTTTTCTGTTAGGGAATGCAATGATCCGAATAACCTGTACAAAATTTGTAAATATGTCAATTTAAACTAATAATCATACATGAGATATTGTAAAAAAATCATAACTAACATCCTTTTAATTTTCAATTGTCTATCAAAACTTCACTTTATTGATTTGCTTATACTTTATTTAAACATAAAAAATATTTTTCTAACACTACCTGCATATCAATCGTATGTTTTTGTAATATAAAATTACAATATAAATAATATATCAAATAAATTAATATGGTTGTAGTCACCAAAAGTATATTATAACTCTATATTTTTAAGAAGTGGCATATAAGATAAAAAGAACTATATTGAAAACGGGAACAAAAAAATAACTGAAAAAAAATAATAGGAAAAAGTAATTTCTTTCTCCTACTGGAAAAAGAAAGGAGAGGAGCATTCAAAGATGTGATTTAAAGTTTACAAGTATGATGCCTTCATGTTCATGCTATATATTATTTGGAATATCACGACTCAAATTTGATGATATAATTAAGTAATAATTATTTATGTCAAGGAAACAACATAGCATGCATATCTCTTGTATTTAGATAGCTATATGGCAGAAATCTTTCATACTAAAATAAGGGGTGAAAAAAGGAATCCTAAATCTTACAAAAATTTGTAAGTGAGCGAATGTTACGTGCAATCAGTTTAAATTTAATAACAAAAAGGAATGCGTATGCGGAAAAAAAGGACTTCAAAACCTGAAGTGATGGAAAGAATCCTAAATATTAGGGAAGTAATAATTATCTATTTTTAAATATAAGAAAAATAATTAAATATTTATTCTCATATATTAGGAAATATTAAATGACTATTTCGTCTAATGTGAAATCAATTTTTAAAGGGTAAAAAAGACGAACAACATTTCGCTAAGGGACTTCGTGCTTTTAATATAGTATAGATAGATATAGATATAGATAGATAGATATAGACTAGCCAAAAACAAACTGCTTTTCACCAAAAGTACTTTTGAAAAAAAAAAAACTTTAAGTTAGATTTTTCAAACAGGCTATAAGATTTACAGAGAAAATTTGGGTCACATTTGACCTTTTAAATTACATATAAAAATAAAATAAAAATTGTTTTAAAATGAACTTCTGAAATAGTCCATTTAGAAAATGAACATTGAGTTTAGATAACATTAAATGGACAAAACAGCAAATATTTTGAAAAAATCGCTTCACCACATTACTTGGTAGATCTAACTACTTCAATATTTCGCTTAGGTTTTTTCTTTTGCACGCATACGGAGAAAGGTTTTTTTTTTTTTTTTTTTTAAATAAATAATTGTCAAGACGATACATCTTTTCTCTCCTTTTCTCCCAATCAACCATCTTTTCCTCACTTTAATTTTCTATCTTCGTCTTCAGAATGAGTTGAAGAATATGAGATGGCGATAAACATGCATGAAAATATTCCAATGCCACACAAGATTGAATAACTACTTCAATTTTTGAGTTTCTGATAGTGTTATTCGTTCCCGAGTGTACACAAGAATAAAAAAGCCAAACTTAGACAACGTGAATTAGTAATATAATTAGTTTAGAAAGATGAAATACAGAAAGAGAAGAAAAAAATCAACACAACTTATAGAAGAGACTCATCATCTCAATACGATGCGGTAAGAAATGGCCCCAAGGGCCAAGATGTACAGTAGTTGTAGTCGTGGAAATGAGGATGCCCGGTAACTCTCAGCAAAGTTTGATTCTCTGCCCCCAGCTGCAAAAAAAGCAAAATAAACATATTGTTAATGTCTAGAGGAAAAATTCTAAATCATGGTTAGCTAGTGACGAATCCAACTATGAGGAGTTTGTTCGGCAGAATCAGTAATTCGACCGAACCCATATATATATATATACAGTCAAACCTCTCTATAATAGCCTCATTTGTTCTAATTTTTTGTAATTGTTATAGCGAAGTGCTGTTATAGAGAACATATATCATAATTCATAACATGAAACTTGGTTCCAAAAGAAACTTGGCTTTTATAGTGAATGATTGTTATATAACGATGCTGTTATAGAGAGGTCCGACCGTAGTTAATTAAATATATATTTTAAAACTCTAACTCTCTCAACTTAGGACTTACATTATCTGAAGTATTTAGGATCTGTCACGTCTTTGACTAGCTAGCAATAAAATTTTGTGTATCCTACTCCGTTTTATCAACACTAGTAGTAATATCTGAAGGAAACAGTTTCGGACAACTTATTATTTGAAAGAAACATTGAATATGTTACACATTACGTTAACCGAATATAGTAAAGAGAAGAAAGTCCATTTTAGATCATATTAAAGTGTAGCTAGTGAGAAGAATCATCCGAAATATCTCCCATGCTATCACAGTGAAAACAACAAGTCGAATTTATCGTTTTCGACCCGAACCATATCCGACCCAACTCGCTCGTTTGTCACTCCTATACACAGATAAAGTAAAAATCATTCACCTTATCAGTGTACATTAGTTAAATTCTAAAGTGAACAAATTTTACTAAACCAGAAGAAAGGATTATGTCTCACTTACCACAATCTCTGGTAGAATTACTAGTGCTTGCGCAAATACATTGTGCCATCTCAGTCTCCACATCAAATCCACAATTCCCACCAGACTTAGCACAACGTTCACATCCTGTATCCGGGACACTAAATGACAACTTCATCCCATAAAGCCAATCCAAAGGTCCAACTCCCTCCAATTTATCCGAATTATACACACTCGTATAATGCGTACAATCCAATATATCCATACTCATATACTTCACCGTCTCATAACCCGTAAAACAACAAGCCGGTGTACTATTCGACAGCATATGAAACAACTTAAACGAAGTGCACGATCCGTAAAGTTCGTCACAAGAATGACCAGAGAAATTAAAACAGACAGATTTGTAATGGTTAAGAACTGGTGAATCAATAGAGCAATTCATGAGGATGAAAATTGTGTCAGGTGAAGGTGGGATTATAGCTGATTGAATTTCTGACATTTTGAAGTCGTGGTGAGGTTGTAAGATTGAACAAGTTGACATTGATGGATCGAAAATGGTCATAGTTTTTTTGTCATAGTCTATGGATTGGACTTTGTAATTTCCTGATGGTGTTAGGAAGAATAAATCAGTGGCTGAACAATTTAGCATGTGGCGATATTGTGGCGCGCCACAACCATCGTCGATGCTAAATGGGTAATTTATAGGAATGTTGTTACAGAAGTCGCGACATGTTGAGAAAATTTGTGGGGATTGTGATAGTAGCAGAATGAGGTATATTGTTAGATGGTTGAAGCTGAGAAAAGGTAATCTTAATTGGTTAGCCATTGCTAAGGATTTTTAGTTTCAAAGAAGGTTTTAGATGTAAAAGAATTGATGTCCTACAACAAGAGTAACTTTTTCACACGCAGATTACGAAGATTTGCAGAAAGCAAATGGTGAGCAGCTGTCCGCAATTTTCTCTATTAACAGTTTCTTTTTTGACCGTTGGCGCGCCGTTTCACTGGCTTTTTATGGGCTCCACACTGGAAAAATCAAGTATTCGATGATCAAGGAATGAAGAATTCTATTTTCTTCTTTAAGGGAAGGAATAAAGAATTACCGCTTTAAAGACGTGTTTGGTACAAGTAATAAGAGAATTAATTTCGGAATTAGTTTAAGATGAGTTTATCTCATATTTGGTTGAGATAAAATCACGGTATAACTAATTCGGGGATTAATTATCCTGATATTATAATGTTATTTTTATCCCTATGGGAAGATGAAATAACAATCCCGGGAGAATTAATCATAGGATAACTAATTTTCCAACCAAACGACCCCTAAACGTTACATAAATAGTCGGTCGGGCCGGTATACATTAATTACATATAATTATACATATATTATACATGAATTATACATATATTATACATTCACCTGCTATATTTAGTTTAATAGGTTAGGTGGGCAGCTATTTAGGTTAATTGTTCGTTTCTTTTCTCCTCTTACCGTTCAGTCTAGGATTTTTTGGCCTATGCTCAATTATGTAGGTCTTTTTGCTAAGCTACATAATTTATTGATTCAATCTATATACTTGGAGTGTTTTAACAGTTTTTTTTAAGGGAGAAGAGGGTAACTAAATGGAACAATTTCAACCATTAAGCATGAAGATAAATGCATTTTTTTTAAAGGTAGGTAATGCATATGACAACTGACAAGGTAGCAAAAGGGGCCAAGCAATTAGATGCAGGGATCGAGAAAGAATAGAGCAATCAAATTAAAAGCAGCAGTATTTTATGAAAATGTCTCATAAAGAAACATCATACAGAAGCTCAAAGTCAAAGAAGGAGTCAGATAATACACAAACCTACTTATATTTACAGATACCATTTATATTGGCGTCACCACTTTTATTTGAGGCAGAGGATTGAACCGCATTGAGGGCCAAAATATGACCCCTTATCTTTGAGGGTAGACCTAAAATGACCCCTTATATATTCAATGGAGCACTAATAGTCCGTTAAGTTTGGCATAACGGAGAACATTTAGTACCTCCATGCGGAAACCCTAATATCTTAACTGGTCATCCTAAAAGAACGTTTGGTAGGAAATAAGTTATCCCGAAAATATAATGTGGGGATTAATAATGAGATTATTTAGTGGATATATTTTATTGTGGGACATTTGGTGCATATGACCAAAAATAAGACATATGAGATATAACATAAAATATGTGTTTGGTGTATATACCGTATCGGGGTGAGGTGGATGAAATGGAGGTTAGCGTCTGGAGTCCTATATGACAAGAAGGTGCAACTGAAACTTAAAGGTAAGTTCTATAGAGCGATGGTTAGACCGGCCATGCTGTATGAGGCTGAGTGTTGGCCAGTCAAGAATTCTCATATTCAGAAGATGAAAGTAGCCGAAATGAGGATCTTGAGATGGATGTGCAGGCACACTAGGCTGGATAAGATTAGGAATGAAGTTATTCGGGAGAAGGTGGGCGTGGCTCCCATGGACGACAAAATTCGGGAGAAGATTGTTCGGGCATGAGCGGAGGGGGAGCCTAGATGCCCCGGTTAGGAGGTGTGAACGGTTGGCTTTGATAGGTACGAGGAGAGGTAGAGGGCGGCCTAAGAAGTATTAGGGCGGGGTGATCAGGCAGGACATGCAGCAACTTCAGATTTCCGAGGACATGGCCCTGGATAGGGAGGTGTGGAGGCCGAGCATTAGAGTTGTAGGTGTCACGACCCTAAAACGGACCCGGTCGTGATGGCGCCTATCGTGAAACTAGGCCAGCCGACACAACTTCCGAATTAACCATTTATCAATAAAAGTCATTTTTAAGCCTTTAATCAATCAAATATCTCATAATGTAAGTCTAAATGAACAGTGCGGAATCAATACACAAGCCCGACATCGGGGTGTCACAAGTCACGAGCATCTACTAAGGCCTGAATACAACTAAGAGTAAGAAAAATGTACTAAATACAGTCCAAGGAAGACAAGAGGGAGAAAAGCAGTGCTGCGAACGTCGAGCAGCTACCTTGCTAACTCCAATGACTCTGCCACTAAGCAATCAACACCCACTACCGGGTTCAAAATAATACCTGAATCTGCACAGAAGGTGCAGGGAGTAATGTGAGTATGCCAACTCAGTAAGTAATAAAAGTAAGCGAAAGCTGAGCAGTAAGAAAACACGTAAGCCACGTCATAACGCTACAACAAATGTAGTACATTTCAAAAACAGTACAGAAATCATTTACTACGTAAATCATGCTCAATCTCAGTAAAAATCTTTTCCTTTTTAAAACATCTTCCAATAGTTTCAAAACGAGTGATACAAACAGTGAGTAAAAATGCTAGAAATGTAAACAGTTCCTCGGGCAAAACATGTACCATAAACCACCCCTCGGGCATAATATCAACAGAACCAGCCCCTTGGGCTACCTCACAATCACTCGTAATCAGCCCCTCGGTCATAACATGAATCAAGAACCTCCCTCGGGCAACTTGGATCAAGAACAGCCCCTCGGGCTTTAATAGGAAACAACAATAGCCCCTCGGGCTACAACACATCACACACACTGGATACCCACGCTCATTGGGGGTGTACAGACTCCGGGAGGGGCCCCTTACGGCCCAAGCGCAATATCAAGCCATCTCGTGGCATAATCAAATAGGCTCTCGGCCTCATATCAATCACAAGCCACCTCGTGGCATAATAAATCAGGCCCTTGGCCTCTCATATATCACAATTCGGTACCACATGCTGCGGTGCGCAGCCCGATCCCATGATATCCTCACAACACAGGCCCTCGGCCTCACTTAGTCAGATCCCACTCAAGCCCCTCGGGCAGACAGTAAACATGTACTCGGCTCAAAATCATTTATGAAATTAAAAGGAGTGAATAAAATCGAGTTATGAAAACAGTAAGAACATAGCATGACAGAGTGTAAACATTAAACCAAAAACAGTGAGGTAAAACAGTAGTAAAAGCCCCTAAGGGTCCAAACAATCGGCACAAGGCCCAGACACGGCATTTAGCCCCAAACACAATAATATTTTCCAAAGTATAGCAATATCAATAGTGTTCAAGTAAAATACGCGACTTAATAGTCGTACGGGATGGACCAAGTCACAATCCCCAATGGTGCACGACCCCACGCTCGTCATCTAGCGTGTGCGTCACCTCGAAGTAGCACAACGATGTGAAATCTGGGGTTTCATACCCTCAGAACAGTATTTACAATCATTACTTACCTCTATCCGGTCCAAACTCTAGCCCGCGATGCCTTTGCCTCTCGAATCGGCCTCCGAATGCTCCAAATCTATCCAAAACAGATTTATACCATCAAAATATGCTAAGGAAGCAAAAGCCCACTCGAAAATATCCAATTTATACAAAACCCCGAAATTGGCCAAACCCGACCCCCGGTCCCACCTCTGGGAACCCGATAAAAATCACACCAATAGAATCCTTACACTTTCACGAGTTCGTACATGCCAAGAACATCAAAATCGGACCTCAAATGGCCCCTCAAATCCTCAATTTACACTCTCAAAATTCAAGCCCTAATTCCCCAATTTTAGGCTTTAAATTCCACATATTTCATGTTTAAACAAATAAGAATCAACATAAGATCGAGTATTAAGTCCGAAATTCTTACCTCCAAGAAGTTCCCTTCGATTTCCCTCTTCAATCGTCTCCAAAAAGCTCTAAAAACGTATAAAGTGGAGGAACTTAGGTTCAAAATCGCGGAATAGGCCTTTTAAACATTCTGCCGAGTCATTTCAAATCCTTCTTCACGAACGCGGTCCAAGCCTCGCGTTCGCGAAGCACAACCTGACGTTGACCACATATTCCTTCTTCGTGAACGCGTCTGCTCTCTCACGAACGCGATGCTTCCTGACTCCAACCCTTCGCGAACGCGGCTCACCTCTCGCGAACGCGTAGCTCAATGACCCCAGCCCTTCGCGAACGCGGGACCTCCCTCATGAACGCGAAGGCCAAATCTTCAGCCTCACATGCTAACCCTTCGCGAAAGCGAAGGCCAACTGGTCTGCAACACACACAACAGATTTCTGCAACTTTTCACAACTTGAAATGGTCCGTTTAACCACCCGAAACTCACCCGAGGCCCTCGGGACCTCAACCAAACATGCCAACCAATCCCATAAAATCTTTCAAACATGTTCCAACCTTCGGAACGCTCAAAACAACATCAAAACACCAAATTTGCATCAGATCAAGCCTAAGAATTCTAAAAACTTCCAAATTCCGCTTTCGATCAAAAAGTCTATCAAACCACGTCTGAATGACCTGAAATTTTGCACACACATCCCAAATGACACAACAGACCTACTGCAACTTCCGGAATTCCATTCCGACCCCTATATCAAAATCTCACCTATCAACCGGAAAACGTCAAAATTTCAATTTCGCCAATTTAAGCCTAAACCTTCCATGGACCTCCAAAATACATTCCGATCACGCTCCTAAGTCCCAAATCACCTAACGGAGCTAACCAAATCATAAAAATTCCAATCCGAGATCATATGCTAACAAGTCAAAACTGGGTCAAACCTTTCAAATTTTAAGCTTCAAACTGAGAATTGTTCTCCCAAATTCATTCCGATTACCTGAAAACCAAAACCGACGATTTATATAAGTCATAATACATTACACGGGGCTAGTCATGCTCGAGAACTGGCGAGCGAAGTGCAAAAGATCAAAACGACCGTCGGGCCGTTATATCCTCCCCCACTTAAACATACGTTCATCCTCGAACGTGCCCAGAGTTGTTCCGAAAACCATCAAATCGCTGTGCAACCTTACCATGCACATACTCGGGGGTGATCCCACGTCACCCTATCTCATATAGGTCCGATAACACAATGTAACTGAAATTTCATAATCCAACCTAGCCTATAAACCTTAAACCACATTTCCACTTCTGAAATCATCTATAAGATCGGAATCTCACATCTAT